TTTAATTTGCATTCATGCATAACACACACACACGCACGTCGGTGGTATTGGTGGTAGTTTCCTCACATGCAAATTCCGAAGTCTAAACTGCAAAATTAAAAAATCTCAATCATCCTGTTTAGTTTGGATGGCTTGTTCCATTACATGAAGATGTCTGCAGTAAATAACTGCTGTAATTTAACAAAGCGAGCAAAGAGCAGCCGACTTGTAATTCATAAAATCATGATCATGGATCTGCCAATATGTGAACGTAACGATTTGGCCCTCTGGAAAACAATCCTCTCCGATCCACAACGGCTCCACGCAGCTGGGGACGGGTTGAGCGGTTGTAAAGAAACCCCTCATTAAGTTCACAACCCCGGAAAAGCCGCGGCAAGGCAATAAAGCATCAGAGAACACAATGTTCTGCCGTCCAAGCGGAACTCGAAGCGGGAGGCCTCCCGTTGTAGAAGCAGGGCAAGCAAGGTGTGAACTCGGGAGACTGATCTCCAAAACCTGTTGGTAAAAATGTATACGAAAATCTTGAACATACAAATTTCGTAGTGATACATACAAAATGACGTCACCCTATTCAAAGTGAATGGGGAGCTGCATCCCGTAAACACACCTCGTGAAGTCTAACGATGTAAAATAAACGTGTTATGATTGCATTTTTAACGGGAAATCAATGTTAACTTGTAAGAATAGAATACTAACCCTAACCCCCTCCAAAAATCCAACATGGCGGAGAGACGTTCACTCAAGAATCCAACATGGTCCGCCATGTTGTTAACCCCCGCAGTTCGTATGTAACACTACAAATTTGTATGTTCAAGATTTTTGTACACATTTTTACCAACAGGTTTTGGAGATCACGTTGGAACTCGGATGATACATCAGACCGTCACGTACCTAACGTGTAATTATGTGATTTAATGATGTGTTCATGTTATGGTATTATACTAGTAGAGAGTCCTTTCAGTAGTGGAAACACAAGTAGTTCTATAGTATAATTGTGGTTGTAAGTACATTTTCAATTGTTCTGTTTAAAGATTTGTGTTTTTTCTCATCCAGTACCGTTTGAACAACGTAATCCCATCAACTGTTGCAAGTTACATAGTAAGTTTACTTTTGGGACGTCAACGCGTTTTCCTTTTGCTGTGTTTTGGTGGCGTGAGTTCATGCTGACTGTTTGCAACTCGCTCAGTATTTCTGTGAAAATGAACTAGAACAAGTTTTAAGAGTAAATGTTTAAATATTTGATTAGGGTACATGTAACAACTACTGTGCTGGTTTGTATGAACTTGTCTGTACGTCTTTCACGTGTTCGGGTTTCTTCTTTCCATACAAGTCACAACAGAGGAAGGTGTTCCCAATTCTAAATATAAATAGGACATTCACAGCATGACGGCTATTATAATAATCTGTGTTCTGTTTATATGTGCTTCTGTGGTCTTCCAGCCGACGGCACATAATGAAAAGAGACTAAACCTGAAATTGGGAACATTGTGTCCATGTCGGGAAGGTATCATGGCTCATTTGTACATGAGGGAATAAATCCATCCAAGTATATTAGGTATATCCGTCGTTGTTGTCCCATTGCATAAGTCAGTTTACCACAAACAATAAATCTTTAACACAACTGCATTCCCAAGGTTTCCTGCCCTGTTTACATCTTAACCTTCCTGCAGCCCGCTGACAGCTGTCTTCACAGAGGCTAACGCTGCAGAGATCGGGGGAGTGTTTACCACACACAGTCACATTAATAGATCACAGCGGAGGAGGAAAAGTGGATAATCCCTCCAAAGTAATACCAAAGAACTGTGGTGGTAGTAAGTAGTAAGACCGTAAACAGGCTGCAGTAAACTGTTCCACAAAGTCAACACTGTCTTCGTACATTAGTCGAGGTTCACATCTTTAAGTATTGCCAAGAATAAAAAGGTTGACATATGTAATTTGTTGCACCGTGCACTTGCATCCTTATTTCTTGTGGCACAAATGGAAGATGTTGAATTTAAATCAATAAAAAAGAGATTCCTTCTCCGGGAATTGTAACCGTGCAGCACTGAACCGCACTGTGCAACACAAGAACGTTGCCCTTCTGCGTGTTTTTAACTCTTCTCCTGGTCTATTGGCCCTCTCCTGAAAACCACAAAGCCCTGTTTTGGATTTTAGATGCAGAAATGTGCTTTTCAGTAGTGTCTTATTATGTCAAACAATGATGAGCACCGTCTCGTGACTCCTGACCGCTGTTCCGAAGGAACTTAGCTACCAGCATTTTCAGAATTAAACACGTTATATAATCATCTGCCCTTTGACCCGGCACGTGTCACATGTCAGAGCCTTTACATTATGTCCAGTGCTCTTGCTGTGCAGTGATGAGCTCTGGGTGTCAATCCAAAACCAAGCCTTCGTGACCAGGACGTCCTGAGCTGGCCGCATTACAAAGCGGTAACCTTTGATCATTTGGGATACAAACACGGCCGAGAGTGCTGAGAACAAAAATAAGTGGTTCTCAAAGAGTCACTCGCTCAATAACCGGGACCCAAACTATTACAGTTTTAGCTATGCCTTTTTTACTTAAGCTGTGTTTTATGTTGAGTTGTTCTGAAATTCAACACAATCAGATGCTTTATGTTGTGATTTAGGTAAATCGACACCCCGCTTTCGGTCTTTTATCACCACTGCAAACAGCCTATCAAAGGTTATGAAAATGTAATAAATCAAACCCACTGCTCGCATTTAGTCCAAACTCTCACATTCACCTTTGTGAAAGCATGACAAACTCCAGACTCTTGTTTTTACTAAAGGTTCACATGGGTCCATCAGTGTTGTCCTCCAAATAGGCCGAGCAGTGAAGTGAACGCAGGCAGAGGATGTCTCAAAATATTCCTCAGTGGTGATCTCATCGCTTCATGTAAACAGTTCATTTCCCTTAAAACTGGGCTGACCGAGCACTTTTCTTTTCCATTAGCCCCCCCAAAAAACACACTCACGTCAACATTCTTTGTCATTTCTAATGTTAACAACCTTGAGGAGTGCTTTCTGAGCCCGTTATGTCATATGAGGCCAAAAATAAATACGTAAAATAGGACACGCAGCTCCTTTCAGATATATAAACGCCTGGCCAATGATTCAAGGCTTTGTCTGTGTGGCTGAACTTTGCACATTTGAGGAAGTGACTGTGTCCACAGGACATCGCACTGTGAAGCCGTTACTGGCACACATTAATCACCGAGCAGAGATAAATGAATAAATCTGGCTCTGGCAGGTTTTAACGAACCCGTGCAAGAACTTTGTGTTGTTTTTTATTGTTTTTTGACCCTCTCTCCTATGGAGGTCAATGTTAACACCCGCTTTGAAGAGGTCACTTTGCCCAGTCAGCAGTTCAAATGAAAAAAGTCATGGATATTAACGTCATGTTTTTTAAGTGTTTTGTCCCTGAAGGCATTAACTGGGTTTGTTATCCGGCGCATTTACAATTTCATAGACTTTCTGTCAGCTCTTTTGAACTGCTTTGGAAAATACACAGCATTGCATTACAGTGCGGCACGCAGCTGAAATGAGACGTTTGTCCCAAATAATCCATTTGTCTCATTTGGCTTTGATGTTGACGTTATAAATATTGCAACAGTCAAGTGGTGGAGGACTCTGTGAAAAGCAGTCAGACCAAACGATTCCCCAGCATGCGATCCTCACCACATGGAGGCGGAGCCCGCTCATCCCAGCACAAGGCTCCTGCATTCCCATCCCAAACTTGTTTTCTTCCTTTTCGTTGCATAACACGAGCAATCCAACAACAACTCTCCTTCTCTGGGCTTCGTGCTTTCAAGAATGCACCGGTCTAGTTTAATTTCACGCAAAACGTTATTGCCACCCTTATGGTATTCATAGGACGCGATGTCATACATCACTGAGACTTTGATGTGTTGCCTTTTTAGAAAGTCCAGCGGTAGTTGGAAAATGGGTGAGAACCAGGCGATCAGCTGGTGAGCTTTTAATGAGGGTTGCAAACATTGATGCTTCTTCTTGAACACACTGTTCCTAAACAGCTCCCCAGAATAGAATGACAAAACAAGTGTTAAAGCCACACAGTGAAACAAAAGCCTAAATTGGCTTCAGACTTTGTGAACCTCGTGTGTATCGGAATTTTTCCGCCGTGTTTGAGGCTGCCCCAGACATTAGTACAAGGTATGATTAAACGTCGGTACAACTTCCTGCGGCCTATTTCCATTCACATGCACGAGGCGTTTTAGGTTTCTGGAAAAAGAGTTTAACTCAGTGTTTCAGAGCAGCCACATTGATCACATAGAATCCGGGGTCAAATTAAGCAACGGGGAGGTCCACTTTTCCTCTGATGGTGTTTGACGGTTGGAGGAGACTCCAGGCCCGAGCGGTGGCCCTTTTCCCGGAGTCCCGGACAGATGCGAGCCTTGTGTACAAACTAGCAAAGCCGCAACGTATCCAGTTACACAGACTGAACAGACTGGCGGCCAATCTGTCTGAAAGGGAAATTCAGGGACAAACGGTCTTTTTTTTTGCCACCCTGTCAGATTCCTCTGGCAGACATCTATTATTACTTCAATGTGATCAGCGGTCACACTGTTTTGGACTTTAAGCTTGTACGATTTTCTGCAAAGTCAGACAATGGGAGGAAACGGTCCTCAGTCGAAGAAGCAACATGCAAAAAGAAAAGCAAATCACAAGCCGCTGACGTCGACCTCAAAGCCGAACCGAAATCAGCACTAATGTTGTGACAGAGTTGCGCAAACCTTTAAGACGTCATTCTCGCAAAGAAACTGTTGTTTACCTTTGAATGTAGAAGGATTTCACCATAGGGCTTTGTGAAGCACCAAAAGAAAAAAAAAAAACCCGACCTGATCAGACTAGATTTTTCCCCTTGAATAAAATGCAAACTCAAAGCTACCATGAGGGAAACGAGATAAGAATCTGGCTCAGCATTAACTACACCTGCTTAAATGATTGGCTGTTTCTCACACACAAAAAACAAAGTGTCAAGATTTGGCATTATGTAAACATAAGGTTTATTGCAAATGTGCAGTTGCATCCAAACACCATAGTGAACCACTTTTACAAGGATACTTTACAGCAACAATGCCGTTATCTTTACAAAACACATCAAAACTTTAGCACTAGCTAAAAAATAGGTTTCACCCTGTGACGGTTTACACATGGTCTTGGTTTGCTCGGCTTCAGTCGTTGAGAAAAAAAAAAAAGGGGCAAAGTCTTAGGTAGCTATAAAAACCAACAACAACAACAACAACAACAGAGTTCAGTGTGGAAATGTGTTCCTCTCTTACTAAGGACAGGCAATGTTGTCATGCCATAGTCTTCAAACATCCGAGCGAGTAACAGACCAGATGCTGCTAAAATCAGGAGTGCATCTTTATCATCATCATCAGGCAATGAAAGATTACATTTTTACGAGTCATTTCAGTATCCTGGTCAGTCTACTGCAGCAGTCCATCAGCTGTGACTTGGCTCCACCTCCGTTCCATTAGCTTATCCTGATTATTCCTGCTACGCTTCGATTACACAAACACAGCAATACATTTTAGGTACAGGAAAAGCCGTTATGGGGCTGGAATGTCCCGCTGGGGAGGGGAGACGGGGTGGGGGCTGCATGTTGGATCGGACAAATCCACTCCGGCGGGGCTTTCCTAGCTGAGACGTGGAGGACCGCCTCAGACTCGCCTCTGGGTCAGCGATCCCCCCAAGTCAGCCCCCGCACAGGGCCGGCCCGATCGACACTTCCTTGCCCCCCCCGGCCCGCCCACCCTCTCTGGAGAAAAGGGCGTTTGCTAGAAGGGTTCGTCTGGGCAGGGAAAGCACATCCCTGCCGTCTGAAAGCAAGCGCTCGTCGGTGCCTATCGGCACCCCCCCCCCACCACCCTCCCCAGCGCTTTTGTCTACGACAAAGAGTTGGACGGCATCGGAGGTCCCGACACGCGCCACCGCTCAGAGCGTCTCGAGTTCTGCAGCGTGCTCGTCGGTCTCAACAGTTCGTTAGCGTCCCATCGGTCACTCACAGCCCCGGCGCGTCGCCCTCGCTGTGAAGGCTTCTCGGCGGCAATACGTCGTAACGCTTACGTTCAAATGGAGGTCCATTACTGTAAAGAGACAGTGGCTCTACCCGCCCCAAGGCAGAGCCACTTATACAGCGGAGCCAGCGCCGAGGCCGCGGGGCTGCAGCAGGTGCTCCGGGGTCACCTGGGCGCTCCGATTGTCCAGCGGTAACAGAGCGTCTGCCGGGATGCGGGACTGGAACTTCTCCATCTGCTCGGGACTGGCCAGGTTCTTCAGCAGGTAGTTCTCCCGTTCCAGCTGGTTGTTCTTCTCCGCCAGCTCTTTGATCTGCTCTTTGAGGACCTCCACCTCCTCACGCACCGCATACATCAGGTGGTTCTTGACAAGATCCTGTCACAAAACACAAGAGAACACAGGCGGCTCAGTACGGATGGAACCGGCGTTCGCTAAGACGGTAAAATAATGATGGTGGGGGGTCCGCTGTCAGAGCGAATTCCTGCAACTGTCGTCTACTCCGTGACATAAATAAAGCATGCAGCGGCCTGTGCCACCTTCCTTGGGCATCCAGAAAGAGCCGGTTTGGTGCAGAATGAATCAGCATTTCGAGGAAGCCGGGTGTGTAAAGTGAAACCGATTGTCGGGTGTGCATGTTGGCTTACCATCGCCTGCTCGATCTTGTTGTCGATGGCCACCACGCTAGCACCAGAGGCACTGCAGGAGAGATGAGTGAACAGTTCAGACGCCAAATGCAGTTACCTTCAGGTCAACACAACCCTCAAAAGTTCAACTATTCAAAAGAAAAAAAAAAAAAAAAGGCCTTTTGTAAATCAGTGGAACAGAAAAGCAAAAACACTACAGCTCACTTGTTATTGTGAGCACTGTTGTGGTTTTATTAAGGAGAAGGTGTAGCGAGTGTAAAGTCCAAATAAACAGCAGCACATGAAGATTGCGGAGCGAGCAGCGTTGTGTGATAACAAAAAGCAGGCATTTCGCACGAGTTGTTATGGACGGCACAATGAAAACACAGCGAGGCGAGCCGGAGGCCTGCGGGGGAGATGCGGAGGGAAAGAAGAAAAAAAAAAAAAAAGACGCTCCGATTCATAACTAAACCCCGCGCGACATTAAATAACAGAAATAACGATATTTACCTATTGTCAAGTTTCACCGATACCACGTCTCCTCCGAGCAACGAGGAGAAGAAGGAGATGGAGAAGTTGTGTAACTGGTACACGGCCACCTCCATGGGCGTTTTGCCGAACATCTCCGCGCTCATGTTGAGTACAAGACTCGTTTGGATCACGCTTCTCGCCACGTTTGCGACTGTCTGTTTCACCTCCGCTGGAATATCCGGATGTGTTTCGTCCGTCGTGTCGATGCACTCGCTCGGGCTCGCGGGTCGGCTGAGGGACGTGCTGTGTCGGGGTTGTTTCTTTTAAGCTTCGCCGGTTTCAAACGAGCGACTGTCTGATGCTATTTCTGCCACCGGCCGCTTTTTATATGGCTCGCCTGCTGACGTCACATGACGCGAGCGAATGTTAGTCAAATGAGTTGGCGGGTCGGGGTTTATGGTGCCTTCAAGGCTATCGGGAAATAAATGGATTCGCGGTGCTGATCGGTCCCAATTTAGATTTTTGCACAATAAAGTTTAAGGGGCGAGATACCAAATTAAGTTTTATACTGATGCATTCACGACGCTGGCTGTAGTATTTTGTTTTTCAACTTTGTGAGACTTCAATTTTTACAACGGTACAAACTGTACAAAGAGATTATGAACATGAACTATTCCAGGTTGGGCTTGATTTACATAATCAATGCTTATCTGATAGTTACTGATTTTTGTTTTATGTTGTATTTTTTTGCTTCTGTTTTTTTAGAATATAATTATTATACCCCGAGTGATATCTCACTAACAACCAATCAAATACAGAACAACTCGGCGTTATTGTCACTTTAAACAACACACTTCATGTATTTATTATGTGATGAAAAGTGCAAAATGACTCTTCCAACCGGATAATTTGAAAAAAGAAACAAATGCAACAAAAACAATGCTTTTTAGGCAGCTTTACTATTAGTAAACAAATGAAAGACTCAAAATAAACGAGTTTAAGGCGAGCATTTGAATGCAGCATTACTTCTATTTGAACTTCGCGTTCACAACTGGCCTCTGCAGTTTACCCACAAACCATGCACACCGAAACCAGTGTCCCTGACTACCCTCCAAACCGATGTTATCACAGCAGGTCTGCATAAATGAGTCACTCCCGTTGCTATTAAATACAAAAAAAGAAAATAATTGGCCACAGAAAGGACGAACGTGATAATATTTCGCAGCGTGAAGTTCTTCAATAATCGTTTTTAGGGTATATTATTATTATATCCATATTACATATATATTTCACACAAGCTATTCCATACCATTCCGCAAACTCGGTAATGAACTTTTATCACTTTAATGTTGTTTGTTACAAAAAACGCTACGCGCTTTAACGGGATGTCCTGCACCGTAGGCTCATCTGCACAGGTGCTCCACACACAGGTACTTTTCCACCCTCTCCCCGGTAAAGTTCACCTCAGTTTACACCTGAACTCCATCGGCCTCTAGTGGCCGCAGCGTGTAATACACCCTCCGGTTCGGGGACAAACATGGAATTTTCCGTGCTCCTTTTCCTGCCTCGACAAATCAACAACTTGAGGTTGTTTATTCTGCTTAGTTGAGCCATAGAGAATTCTTAAAGGACGATCATTCGTTCCTTCGTCATGTTGTATTGATCAGGATTTTTTACTCGTCCTCATTGTAGATACGAATTGGTTCTCAATTGATTCTTCTGGTAAAGTAAAGGTCAAATCAAATGTTAATTAAATTAATCGGTGTATTGTTTGCAATTATACAGCCACCTACTTGCACTCAAGGATATTTTAGAGTAGCGCAGTTTGTAATGCGTGAGTTATGTGTACCGCAACTTATATTTAGTATGAATATCCACCCCAGTCATTGGTAGTGCAGAGAATAATGAGTCCAATGCACTGTTTCCTGGCTCTTACCCTTCACATACACTTTTGAACTGACACCTTGAAACATGTGGCGCAACTGGACTGAGCATTCGGCAAAGTGTAATAAACAATGTGTCCTAGAAGCCGACCGCACAGAAAAACAGACCTTCTATCTGTTATCTTTCTTTTCATGGTATTTTCTACTGAGGGCTGGGAGCTCTATTGCGCAATAGACCTTGTTTTCAGTAAGGCGTCAATGCAGGTTTTAATAGCTACAATATGAATTCTCAACTCCTCTCAGCTGTCATAAGATGTTTCTTTTTTGATTTTGCAATAATCTGAATCCACTACTGATAATAAGGGAGTTGCATTTGTATTATGTTGCATAATAATTATTCTTCCACAAAGCAGGAACGCAACGTAGAACATTACCGGCTAGTCAAAATAAATGATCTGATGAGTGGGTCTCGCAACTAGTAGCCATTAAATGCATATATGCTATGTAATATACAGTACATGCAGTACCAGTACCAATGATAAGAAATGGCCGAGAGCCAGAGAACCTCTGATCATTGCATGGCAAACAAAGGTCTGCCACGTCTTCGGGAGAAAAAAAGGGGCTCTGTTATGTAACAAAATAATTAGAGTGGAAAGTCTGACTCTTGGTAGTTCTAACAAGGCTGAGCAGAGAGCAGTGACTGGGTATTAGGGCCCATAGTGCTTGTCGTCTTTGATTGTGTACTGTGGGAACGCAGCTGCCAGGTTTAATATCGGACCCTGTTCTGCAATGTGAATTACCATGCCCTGCTGTGATAGTCCCATTTGGGATGGGGGGTGGGGGTCACATTTGGTTGTGGTTCTGCTGCGATGCACAAACAGTGCTCCAAACAGTGGGCAGCCTTTCTGCGCAGTTCAAATTAATGAGTCGCATGCAGTAAGACGGCGACGGTGCAAACCGAGAAGCCCTAATCTTAATATCCGCTACCACACAAATCTTGACAGGTACAAACAACATGAGCAATTCTAGGTTCCATTGTGTTTGCATGTTCCTAAGGTTTAAAGGCTGCAGGTATTGACCATCGCTGCCATAGTGAAGCATCTTGCTGCCTGACCATGTTTGAGCAACACCTCCCAAAGTGCAAAGGCCAACCAGTATATCTGTAACACTGCGAGACATCTGCACCAATATACTGCAGAAGAATGAAGCCGAGACGGGTCTCCAGCGTGTGGCGCTTTGGGGTTCGGTTACGCCAAATTCAAGACAAACGCGATATCTTACATCTCTTCTTGGACTAAGGGTCTTTTCTGTACCATGTGTGTACCATCTGATAATTGAAATTCCTGGCGTACAGGAGAGCGGCGGCCCCCGAGCACACAGCCTCTGCCACCGGCTGCAGCCAGGGGCCGGCTCGGAGGGAGCTGTCATTGTGGGCAACAGGAGCGGTTCCAACCGATGAATACTGAACTCTCTACAAACACGAGGACACCCGGCGGCGCTCGTTAATATCACATCACCTATATGTCTCCTGAGCCATGAATAGGAACGAGGCACGTGGTCCTCGGTCTCGCCGCCGAGGCTTTTCTATGAATTTAACAGGCTGCCAATAGCTGCCCGTAACTGCATGTGATAGCTTGTATGAAACATGCAATATACGCAGAAAAAGGTGACGGGACTGTTATTGTTATACGGGGGCTGCCAGAGATGTTATAACACGCCTGCATTCAGCGCTGAAGCCATCAATTAGTGGAAATGAATGTCAACAACATCTACATCTTTTATGTCAGCAAAATGCTAATGTGTTAAAAGTTATTTATAAAGCGCGGCTGATGCATAGACGATGAATTTCCCGATCCGTTTTGCTCTTCATTGTTAAAACGCCGCCTTACATGGAAATTGTAATCCGAGCATCATTTTGACTGCCGCACACCTGCCGTTACCGCCCCCTGAATTATCCTCAACGTGCCTTCAACTGCATGTCCTCTCATGCACAAGACAAACTCTCTACCCCCCTCCGTCCGTCCCTCCTAACTTACCGCCGATCTGGCCTCTTGAACAGACTCGGTGAGTAAGGGGGCGAGTGGCTCGTGGCCCTCTCGGGGTAGTTGAAGTGCTGGTAGTGGCAGCAGAATCGGTGGGCCGGTTCGGCCAGGCGGAGGGCGCAAAGCGTCCTGGGGGACGGTGGCGTGGCCCCAAAGGGCACGAACTGGGTGGGACGCGTCTGAGTGTGTCCCATCCCGGCCTCCAAAACGAAGGGGCTCGCTCGCGGAGAGCAGGACTCGTCTGACTGTTTGCGCGCTCCTCTGCGGCTGTTTTTGTTTGTCTCTGCGACCGTGTTCTCAGAGGACAAAGGACGGCATTGAGACACTGGCGATACCTCTGGACGTCCAGCAACGGCTGCCATGTGCCGTGCTCCGACTGGCACCCGTTGGACGCGCCTCCAAATCCAGCTGAGCACAATGCCCCGGAGTTACAGAGGAAAAGGAAAGTTTTTTCCCGAAAGGGAATTGTTTCATCTCAACTCTGATTCAGGGCAGACGAAGCAAAATAGAACTGAGATGTTTATCTCCGCATCTTATTCAATAAGATGGAATAAAGTGTCATAAAACACACAGTTAAGTCTTTGTTCCCTCATGTGAAAAAAACCTTATGCAACCCGGCAGCAGATTTGTTTTGCTTATATGTTATTAAATGAGGCGGATGAATTAGCTCGGGGCAT